TTTTATGTGTAACACTTCAGCTGTGGTTATTGCATTAATAAAGTGGACGTTTGTCCCTCTGGAAGCAGGGAGCTGTAGAGTGGCGCGGTGGCCAATTTTTTTTATCGGCAAAGTGACATTCGGCAAAACAAATTAAAATTTGTTTCATCCTTCCATGCTATTTGTTTACCACTTTCGGTTCGTTTCAATTTGCTATCCTGCGAGTTCATGGTTATTGGTTGCGTATGGACTTTCTAATCTGTCGACCCGAACTAGCTTATAATTATTATTGTAGAATTAACCATATTTTTATAAAAAAATTGCGAAAAAATAATTAAAAAACAGTTGCCCGTATTGCAAAAAAATCGCTGTACCTAAACTTTATTGATTGACTGTATGTATATGTATATACATATATACCTTTTCACAATCAATCAGCTTGACTATGTATTCGACGGTGGAATTTGGAGGAATGTTAAAATGATCATTTCCTTTGATTCCAAAGGCATACTTTCCATGGATTTTTAATCTGCATTACAAATTATATTCTGTTTTGTTATATTTGTGTATAAAAACTTTATAAATGGAATATATGTTTGTATACTTAACAGCTAATATTTTATCATAGTATGAAATTGGTTTTTAAAACAGAAACGGAGAAGCAATATATATAAAGATCTAAAACGTTTCAATTACAACGCATTTAAAAAAAGTTTGCTTCAGTATTGTACAACACTTCCCTAAGATAACAATTTTCCTTTTAAGACCCAAATATAAACAGATATAGGTAATACTTCTATATTGGCAGCATGATTCAATAGTACTTGCGTTCCCTAACTCGCAAGTTGCAAGAATTTAGAGGAATTTGCCAGAAAGCGTTCCCGTACACGGTTCTCTGGCTTCTTTTGTCTTTTGACAGTTTTACAGGTTTTAACCCAGACAAGTTGGGGAACGCAACTAATACAAGGTTAGCGCAGCCGCGGTTTGACACTCCCTTACAAAAGGTCGCATTTACGAAGGACAGAGAAAGGGGAAGAATGCAATCCCTTGTTACGAAAATGGTAGTAGAAAAGTACGCAAAGTAGGCATCTAGTAGTGATATTCCCTTTGTAAATTCTAATGTATTTGCAGGAAATCTGCAGTTTAAACGAAATATTGAACGAAATATTAATACATCTACGTGAATAACGTAATTTATGTGCTATTTAGCTCTATAAAAAATGCAAAAGGAATCAAAATTAAAATAAAACTACTATGAGATTTATGTAAACATCCAACTTAAAAACAATTTATGTTTTCATCAGTTAAATGTGCTTCATATGCATATACAAATAAACATATTGCACAAAAGCTTATACTCCTATTTCACAGCAAAGCTACACTCTTTCCAAGTAAATTTGCAAAGAAGCAACACTCTGCCACTGCTAAGGGAGCGGTGCGAGAGAGATAACTGTCAGTTTATCGAACCTTGTATTATTGAATCATGTATTGGCAGTATGTTGAAAGTACATCTGCTAACATTAGAGCGCAGATATATAATGTTAGAACGAGAAAACCCACCAGTCAATCAAGGTTCATAAAATAGAAGGTTACGACATGGTACTCCAATGATGTAGTTGCGAAGTGAGTTCTGATTGGCTGAAATATTTTAAGAAGAACCCTGCAAGAACAGTGACTATCATTTGACAAATGATTTGAGTGCCAAGACTGATAGAGATTTCTGTCACTGGCTACCTACAAGTTTCTATCAAATTCTAAAGGGCAGTGTGAAAAATCTGATGTAACCATTTGTGTACATGTGATCTTCCGTCTTCCTCCAACTAATGGCCTTATTTAATGGTCTCTTTTTAACCAACGCAAAATTTGCAAATGTGTTAGTAAGATAAATGAGAATGTGTTAGTTTCCATCATTGTAGGGAAGGAGAGTACACAAAACGCAGAAAATATAGTTGCCGTATAGCATATTTTAGGAATCCTAATCAAATGGGGATTTTTGATATAAAATCGTGGCAAAGCTTATTAGAACAACATAAAATGTTATAACTTCACGTGAAACTGGATTAACATAATAATATTCGTACAATAGTGACAAATGAAATGTAAATCGAATGCTTATTGAAATTTGCTGGCGATGTTATTCTTGAAAATGAGCAAAATTGGCAAAATTTCGCTACCGAAATTGCAATTCATCTTTAGACATACGGTAAAACCTAAATTACCCTTTTCAGTGTAATTTTTGCATTCAAAAATAGCGCACTTAAATTTTTAATAATTTAAATAAACTCAAAGACGCAGAAAAAAGCACAAGCTTCAACGCAAATTGTCAAACGGTAAATATCAGGGCTACACATTTTAAATAAAACTTGATGTATTTTTGAGTAAAATAGTGTATTTTTATAAGATAAATTTTTAGGAATCTGGCGACTCCAAAAATTTAGCCATCTACGTCATCAAGATGGCGGCCATGGCTGATGTCGTAACCTTGTATTCTATGAACCTTGCCAGCCAATATATCCAGAATGACGTTTGAAAACAATAAAAAATCAGGACCGGTGCAGTAACCGTCAATATTCCACAAAACTAAAGTTTAATTTTACAGGAAAAAAATTAAACAAAATTTTAAAATGAGCCAGCCGTATCGGGAAAACGGGCGGAAGCTACATCTCGGCTAAGGCGCTGGAAAGGAAGGCACGCAACCTAACAGTAGGTATATCTTTTAAGAGTGATTACGGTGAGCGCCTTACGTGTAACTTTTACATCTCTTGCTGCTTATTCAAATCCGCCGGTTGCCACAAAGCTTGCACCAAATCACTTTCAGGGAAAAATTTTTGGTTGTTTATTTATTTGTGTTTTTTAATTAAACCGCTCCTGGAGTGACTTGACAGTTGTTTGTTTGTAGCCGTTCACAAATATACATTTATACTAACACAAGCAAACATTTAAGGCAGTGTCTACACACACGCGCCACGGTAACTTTTACCGTAGATCCACGGTAAAAATTACCGTAGATCTACTGTAAAATTACGTGGATTATGTGTTGCCGGAGAAGTGGGGCAGAACTTCTGCGTAGGCAGCCTTCGGCCGCACTTAGCGATTATAACCCTTACTACTCAGAATTCTCCTTTCTGTGTTGCCAGAGAAGTGGGACAGAACTTCTTTCGGCGTAATTTTTACCATGGATCTACGGTAATTTTTACCGTGGCGCGTGTAAATAGACACTCCCAACATTTAGTTGGTAATACAAATATTTTGTGAAGATACGTTACTATCAATATAGAAGTATTACATATATGTATAAAAATTTCAGCAAGTTTAAAATAAAATAATAAGCATTAAGTAAACCAAACAAATTATTGGAACTTGCTAAAATGTCGCGTCCCAGTTTATATTTCGTTGGAGGATGGTTCCGTGCGCAGAAGTGGAAAACTTTTGACTGCCATTCACCTGGGAGTGGCCAGAAGCGATTCTTGTGCGTACGGTTCAAATTGCAGCTCACAACGTCCGGATATTTATATCCACTTATCTTCTGGGTAGCAACCAAACACCCGTTTGGGAGCGAGCTAAAGTGAGAAAAAATCTAAAAAGCCTCGGATGAGACCCCCTTTTTCTGATGACGACCACGACAAACGTATAAACCGCTATTATTTAAGGGTATGCACCTGGAATATCCGGACCCTTAATGGGGACGGTGCCTCTGCCCGGCTGGTTGATGTCCTCGGGAAGACAAAGGCTGACATCACCGCCATCCAAGAAATGCGATGGACGGGGCTAGGAAAAGTAAGCGTGAAGCCTTGCGACGTATACTACAGTTGCCACGTAAAGGAGCGCAAATTCGGTGTTGGATTCGAGGTAGGAGTGAGACCCCGTCACCGAGTACTGGCGTTCACCCCGTTGGACGAACGTCTAGCCACAATCCACATCAAAGCTAGATTCTTCAACATCTCGCTCATCTGCGCCCATGCCCCGACGGAAGTGAAGGATAAGGCGTCCAAGGATATTGTCTATGAGCGCTGGAAATGTACATTTGAGCGCTGCCCCCGACACGATGTCAAAATCGTGCTTGGCGATTTTAATGCCAAGGTGGGCAAGGAAGGGATCTTTGGCGCCACTGTCGGAAAATTCAGCCTCCACGATGAAACGTCCTATAACGGACTGAGGCTGATCGACTTCGCCCGAAACATGGTAATATGTAGTACTAGGTTCCAGCATAAGAACATCCACCAAGCTACATGGCTGTCTCCAGATCGAAAAACGAGAAACCAAATCGATCATGTTGTGATAGACGGAAGGCATGCTTCAAGCGATTTAGACGTACGTACACTCCGAGGGCCAAGATACGCACCCGCCTTTGTGCAGCAAAAAATTTAAGGAAAGCTTAACGTCGAAAAGCTGCAATCACAACAGACGGTCAATTTATTCGCCACTCGACTCAACACACCAGCTCTCTGAAAGCACTCTGCAACAATCCGACGTACGCGAGCAGTGGAACCACATTTCCCGATCATTAAGTACCGCCGCCGAAGAAGTAGTTGGATTTCAGCGAGCCCGAAAGAACAACTGGTACGATGAGGAATGCCAAGAAGCCGCAGAGAAAAAAGATGCCGCCTATAGGGCCATGCTGCGATCGGGCACAACGCGAGCCATGTGGGACCGTTATAGGGAACTGAAGAAGGAAGCGAGACGTATTTGCCGCAATAAGAAGAGAGAGTCCGAAATACGTGAGTGCGAAGAGCTTGAGATGCTGGCCGACAGGAAGAACGCCCGAAAATTCTACCAGAGGGTTAGGCGACTTACGGAAGGTTTCAAGACCGGGGCGAACTCCTGTAAGAACAACAATGGCGACCTAGTGACCGATGTCCAGAATATACTTAAATTGTGGAGGGACCACTTTTACAACCTACTGAATGGCAGCAGCGCTGAAAGTAGTGAAGGAGACGAACCCAAGTCCCCAGTCGATGATGATGGAGTAGCTGTCCCACCGCCTGACTATGACGAGGTACGAATAGCGATTACGCGGCTGAAAAACAACAAAGCTGCTGGAGCTGACGGCCTGTCAGCCGAGCTATTCAAGTACGGCGGCGAGGAGCTGATGAGGTGCATGCATCACCTAGTATGCAGAATATGGTCAGATGAACGCATGCCCGACGACTGGAATTTAAGTGTGCTCTGCCCAATCCACAAGAAAGGCGACCCCGCCATACGCGCCAACTACCGCGGAATTAGCCTTCTAAGCATAGGTTACAAGGTCTTATCGAGCGTATTGTGCGAAAGACTGAAGCCCACCGTCAACGAGCTGATTGGACCTTATCAGTGTGGCTTTAGGCCTGGAAAATCCACCATAGATCAGGTATTCACAATACACCAAATCTTGGAAAAAACCCGCGAGAATAGGATCGACACACACCATCTATTTGTCGATTTCAAAGCCGCTTTCGACAGCACGAAGAGAAGTTGCCTTTATGCCGCGATGTCTGAATTTGGTATCCCCGCGAAACTAATACGGCTGTGTAAAATGACGTTGAGCAATAC